TGAATTGGGCAGGGAAATTATAGAGGTGTGTTATTGCAAAAAAATATGTATGTTGGTTTGTTAAAGTTATGAGAGCGAATTTGAAGAAACTATAGTGTTGGTCGGAGGGAAAGGGAGACGGGAATTTGGAGAAAGTTTTCAAGATGTCAGCTCGACCTTCCAACACTTTGAATGAAATCTGTAAGGCCTCCATTTCCGTTTAATCCTCTGCTCAACTCAGGCTTCTGAGAGAAAAGCGAGTTTTGTTTGGGGAGTCGCACAGACTCACACGAGTCCTCAGAGATGTGTTGGCTGAAGCTGCTCGCTGGGGGTCATGACCTTTGGGTGCCAAACCCGCAGAGAGGAGTCTGTCTTACGGAGCTGGCTATCTGATCCGTTGGAGGCTGCTTCCTCGTTACCAGAGTGTTAATGCAGACTGATGTCAGGTTGAATATTATCACTCCGAGGGATAATCAATAAACGAGCAGAGAGAATGAACAGGCATGCAGCTCACACACACAGAGCCTCTGTGGTCAACGGTTGTTATCACTGCTGTGTAATGGGCTCATTTTGGGGGTATATCCAAACATTTGGTTTGACTTCCTGTTGTGAAAATCTGCACTGATGGACACTTTGTGGGGCTTTTCTTCTTTATATTTATCTTTTAAGGTTGATATCCAAAATCTTCTATCTCAGTTTAATTCAGAATAAAGGCAAAACTAATAAAGCAGTATTCATAGTTTGATGGGGGAAAAACGGCATCAAAAAGACCATCACTTTTTTGTTCAGGGCATCAAGACAGAATAGTTGTGACCACTGTTGCTGACTTGCATCGAGGTCTTTCTGTCAGGAGTCTGCACGTCCTCCACATGCATGTGTAGGTTAACTAGGGCTACATCGGTTTCCTCCCACAGCCAAATGCACATTAAACAAACTCTCCTCATCAATAAACACGAGCTTCTTGGACCTTGCGGACAAGCAGGCTCCCCTAGTCGTTCTATTTTTAGCAGAGCCGAACCACACTGTTCCACTCGGAGATATACAGCTTTGTATTAAAGGAGCAATAACGTGCTGGCTTATTCACTTGACCAATCAGAGAAGGAGGAGAAGAAGAAAGGAAACGAAAACGGGAGAAACAGGCAACCTGTCCTCGCTCAGTTTCTGTAAAACAGTTGTTGTTTTTCTCCGTCTTCTCATTAATCTGATTGTTTTTGTTTATCTGCCGTGTGTTTGATTGGGGTTATTATTCGACCGATGACTTATTCAGGATGTAAATACCAAGAAACTACCAGTTGGTTATGCCAAGATAATGTCAAAAAATATCACAGAAGTATTGTAATGCTGCTACACAAACTGGGAGGGGAGTCTTATATCTACTCAGTGTCATTAACAGAGTTGTCTCAGAACGCTGCAGGTTTGTCAGAATTGATGAGGGCAGATTGGACTGTCCTCAGTTTGAATGGGTGGAAGAGTGTGCAGCTTGACCCAGGATGGCTCGTCTTGTGCGTGGGAAGTGGTGAATGACAAATATGGTTGTTGGTGGCGTGAGGGGCGGTATTGATCAGGTGCTGCGGCTCAGGCGAGCTGATGGAGAGTAATTAATGACTCTATTTGCTTTGGTGGAAAAGAGAACAACTGAGCTTGATAAAGTGACCAAGAGCAGCAGCAGCAGTAGTAACAGGTGAGTGGGATTCATGTGGCTGTGTAGATTTTTTTCTTTGTGCCAAATTGTCACAGGAAGAGTCAGAGTTGTTGTTTGCTTTTTATGTATGTTTGTAAAGACGTTATTAGGATTTGGTGGAAATGTGGCCCTTTAATGCTGCTATGGACTCATCTTGCAGTTTTTGGGCGGTTTGGACCAGAGCGTCTTTTTTTTTTTTTTTTTTTTTAATGATTTCAAATTACAACAGAGTCAGAATCCCTTTATTGTCCCTTCATTTTGTTTAAGTTAACTGTTTAATAACTGTTAGTCATTTATTTTTTTGATTTTTGTTTTATTTTCAAATGTGGAGGAATGGCAGAGTTGTGAATCTTCTGCCTAAATGTACACCAGTCTTCTGTTGTTGATTGAATCCAATCATCACAATAAATACCTGACATTTTTTTATGCCAGGCAGTGAAAAAAGTGATTTAAAGACTCTATAGCAATACATTTTCATAGTAAATACATACTCCTGTTTTTTTTTGTTTTGTTTTTTTTTTATAAAGATGAATGTCACCCTCTGGCATATTAAAAAAGTTTTATGCTCTCTGGAAACAAGGAAACTGTTGTTTGGTTTTAAAGTCATATCCAAGTCTGGCGAAAGGTTTGCTGTGCTGTTACGCCGTCTTGCATCATCCTGCCTTCTTGTCCTCAAAAATGTAGTATACTTAAAAAAAAGCCAATGTGTTACTTAAAGACAAAAAATAACAATGCAGTCAAAGTGTAATGTATTCACTGCCAGGCATCACAGTCTGGTGCATATAATCAAAAACGAAATCCTACCACAGTCGCAGTAAAACAGTACTCTAAGCATAAGAGAATGTGAACATATTTTATTGCTTTGTGTTAAGTGATACTGCAGCACCATATAAAATACTCCACACCAAAGCAATGTCAGGCTTTGAGTTCTTATATATTTATTGTATAACATACCTTTAAAGTCACGTGCTTAACGAGAGCTGCCATTATGTTACACGTCAAACTGAGTGAGAACCGGTGGCTGCATTTAGACAGCTTATTTGCGGATACTAACTGTGTACAAGTCAGGTTTTCGTGCCTTTCTAATTCTGAACTTGGAAACAAATTTACCCATAAGGCAGTTCGACCGAGCAGATAGCGCTTCTCTGCTGTGCTGATGCAGTTTGATTAGCCTGTACGAAGTGTTACGTGTGCATTTAGGGAATGGCCTGACCATATTTATGGATGTTTCTAAAAATCCCACGACAATAAGTAGCATTGTTTTTGTCACACTTATTGCAAAATTCAAATGCAGTCTGTTGAAAGCCAGAAGTAATTTTGAAGTAAAAGAAGAGAACTGCTTACACTACAAAAGAACTGCAGAGTTTAGAATTAATAGTTGACCATTAAGTAATAATCTATTTGACCTTTCTCATAAAAACTATTATCTATTTTTACACTTTTCTCATGATGTTAAACTGTTTTCATAAAAAGAGATAACTTTCTGTGGTGAACTTAATCAAACATTTATTGTACTGTAGCCAGTAGGGGATTCTATTTTTTTTAAATTAAGTTACTAGTAGACAAATTACTATGCCTCTAATAACCTATCAAAAAGCCAACTCACTCACAAGCATGATGTATTATGCCTTCTGTGTCAGTGTTGTGAGTTTGTTCCTGTTGTGTACTATCACAGTCGTGCAGGAAACAGAAAATGAACTGTTCTCAACAGTTACAGGAACGTCAACTACAGTGGAGCCTCACGTATTTACAGTTCAGTATTCGAGAACGTAACTCCAAATTATTCATGGGTTTTATTTTATTTTATCAGACAGCATATTGAAAATATAATGCAGTTTGAGAAGCTAACATTTCTTGTTCCAAGAAATTTGTTCCAAATTGCTGGTATTTGCAAAGCAGCCAATTCAGGAGCTGTTTTTCCTTCTTGCCACTGATTAGCTGTACCCCAAGAGTGGAGATAAGGAAAACTATAGATGTTAACTTGCGTTATTTTCACATGTTTTTTCATATGCAAACTGACTAAAGAAGAACAGAAAATTGACACCGTTAAAGAAGAAAAGCTTCAAAGCAAGCATAAATCAATGATTCTGTGTAACTTTAGATAATCCAATAGGAAAATGTTACTTTTTGCAACCAAACTGTTGCTAGAAAAACGATAGCTTCCGTATTTTGGCACTGTCAGCACAAATTTGTGTTTACACATTTGCAGATGCACTGACACACACTCCTTCTTCCGCTCCATTTTGCAGCTCATCCATGTCGTTATTTTGGAGAGGTTTTTGAGGCTCATCTTTTGACCCCGGCAAAAGGTCACAGAGCCTGCTGGAAAGGCACTAACCCTCCTAAATTGGCGCTTTTGCACAGACAAGATTGATCAATTGAATTGTATGGCAGGGGGGAAAGCGTGGGATTAAGTAGAGTATTATACGCACAACGAGTTGAGGCATGATGTTCATTTCGAGTTCATTTCTGCTCCCTCTTGCCACCAGATCAGGCAATCAATAGCTGGGCCTTGCATATCATATATCACTGCTCTCCCACTGAGGGAAGAACATAATCTGCAGCAAATTTAGAATGACAGATTTGTAAGGGAGCTGAAGCTTTCCTGGGATTCTGGGAGGAGACCTGCGCTGCAGCCACTGATGGGGGTGGTAGGGTCTGTGAAAGGACTGTCTGTAAAAACGTTTTAAAGATTTGCACACAGCGATAAAAGCCAAGGCATCCTCCTCCGAACAGCCAGGTAATCAGGTCAGCAGTGGAGGGAAAATTCGCGTGTTTGGAGAGCAGGGATGATTGAACTAGACTGTGCCGTTTTATTCAGCCTCTTGTCCTCTGCCTCTGCTTCCAAATGGAAGTGCATTCGCAAAGAGAATAAAAGCGTTATTGAATTGTAAAAGGGTGATTGTACTTTAAAAAGCCACCTGATTTTAACATACATTGGGCTTTTTCCAGGTGGGAGAAGGAAGAATGAGATTCTCTGGCGGGAAGGAAAGTGAAAAAAAAAAAAAAAATCACTGTAATGGGCTTACAGCCGCTTTAATCATTTCACACGCTTGCTTCAACGAGTGTATCTGTGCAAGTGACTGTAATCCATCAATTACCAGAGGGATCTCAGATTATGATGCTGTTAATTTTGTGCAGATAAAAAAAAAAAAAAAAACTCGTGTGATGTAGGAACTGGCTCACAGCAGCCATTTAGGTGAATTTTTTTTTTCTTCTCTCTCTTGAGACACTTTTACAGTGGTACAAAATACATGAGGAGAATATAAAGTGCATATAGCTTGAGTGAAGGCCAGCTTCCCGGGGTCAGTGTCTCGAATGTTGCTCTCTCTTCTTGTAGATGGTTCAGATGGTTCTGGCCCAAACAGTGATTCTCAGGGTAGCGTGGAGAGTTTACGGAAGCACCTAAGGGCAGACGCCTTCACCCAGCAGCAGCTGGAAGCTTTGGACCGGGTCTTTGAGCGCCCCTCGTACCCCGACGTCTTCCCCACCTCGGATCATGTCAAACCGGAACAGGTTAGTAGTTTTTCTTATTATTATTATTATTATTATTATTATTATTATTATTATTATTATTATTATTATTATTATTATTATTTTACAGTCACTCACAAAACTCATTCACACAAATTTCCAACTCCAGCTAATTAAAGAAATGGCTGAAAGTGGCTAAGCACAGGATTACAGTCCGAGCATGTATAATACTGAAGGGATCAGCAGGAAAACTCCCACACGTTATTGATTTTTTAATGAAAAACACATTCCTTGTACCTGCTGTAATTGAGAATAACAGTGAAGCAGCATCAAATGAATCAATTTCTTTTTTTTTACGCTTCTCACCTTTGTTGTTTACAATTCTGCATTATATGTTTATTTGTAGAGATGAAGCATGCATCAGGATGAGACTCTCGTGGTATAACTTTTATTAAAAATACAATCGCTACGCAATATTTAAATGCAGATTTATAATGTTTTCTACATTTAAGAAAAAATGTAAAATAAACACCCATGAAATGGAGATCGCTTCAAATCTAGTTTCAGTTAATATACGCTTAATTTGATGAGATCTAGTATAATGCAATCTTATTATACATTTATATTCAAATACAACCACTCCAATACAATCTTGCTCATATCACAGTACAGTCAAAGTAAGTTGATTGTTTCTAAGAAAGCTCAACTGAATGTATCAAATAATACAAGTATGTGGCGACAGTAGAGAGGAATGACTCCTCTTTTAACAGGAAGTAGATTCAGGCTCAGTAGGAGCGGCCATCTTTCATAGGAATCTGAGGCTCAAGAGGACAGGAAGTGAATACAGACAAATTGAAATGAACTGCTATTTATTAACCAGCCCAAGAATGAGGAGTTGTTATTTGATCGTAAATTAATGGATACCTAACAGGCGGGTCGCTGACATATTTTTTCATCACAATCAGAATCATGTTTATTGGCCAGGTTTATGCACACAAAGACTTTAGCCGTGGCCCCCTTTGCTCGTGGCGTATGGATATTTTAAATATCAATATATAAACTTAGTGGGAATTAAAATATATATTTTTATGATGAATTTGCATATATGCAATATTATGCCAAAAGAATAAAACAAGTTGAATGAATGCAAACGCTTTGTGCAGATTGCTTACAAAGCTAATAAAATTAAAGCATGTAAAAAATTCTGAGGTGGTTTTGACAAAATACATATATCTTTTTTGACTGGATTATTAGTTTGAACATGTTAAACGTCTGCCATGTATGATCAACATGTATGTTTATGAGGTAAACAAACATCCACTGCCAGTGTGTGTAAGTTTGGATAATTTTTTTCAGAAACATCCACCAAAACTAGACTTTTGTGTGCTTGCTGGCTTATATTTCCTGTCCTTTATTTATTTATTATTTTGCTTTATCATCAAACCAAGGGTTAATTATTTTTTTTTAGCCTGGCTGTACATGAGCAGCCTTGCTTATCCTCATTATCCAAAGTGAAATATGCTGGCCAGAAAATCACGCAAGTAGGAATTATTAAATGTTAGCGATGGCTGTGTGAACAAGACACAATGGGAGTAATTTCTCCAAAAAGATGAGCAGTAGCTATCTGTTACATGTCCTGAAACAAAAGTAGCACCCCCCTGCTTTCATGGTCAAATTTGTTAGCAAAGGAAAATAGTTTTAGCTTTCTTTTAGACAGCTGACATACCAATGTTTAGTGGGAGAGGTGTAACACTGGGATACCCTACTTTTCAAAGAGCATCAGAAAAGGACTTCAAACTTTTTGAGGCCTTTAATTTTAAGCGTTTTGAAGCTGCGCCTTTGTAAAACATTGGCATACAATGGGTAAAGGTTGCTGCCCTATGACTAGCATACAATCGTCACGACATGACTGCCTGGAAATTGCAAACAGCATCCAACAATTCAACATGAAAACCATACTCTTATTTGTAGAGAAAATTAATTGGCATTTGCAAAACTGCAAACCCCCCACACAACAAGACGACAATCAAATATCACCTTTTATTAAAAGCTCTGGGCTTATTACCATGGATAACCTTTATTTACTGTGCTTTCATTATACTATTAAATAACAAGAGACGATTAATTTCTCCCCCCGCCACCCCAAACTACAAGTCAGACCCATAAAGCAAAAAGCAGTCCCCTAATTGAGTTCATTTTAATTTCTCTCCAATCGGGGCGAATTACGCAGGTGATAAATCAGTGGGACAGGCCTCACCTCCAGAAGAAGGCCTAATTTGCAGCTAATTACAAAACTGATTCCTACTGGAAGATCAATACCAAAACGAATTGGAAATGACTTGCAATCACAAAGAGCGTCAGGGAGAGTATTAAAAGGCAGGGGGGGAAAGGGCTAGACCAGGAAAAACAAGAGGGGTAAGTGAGGAAAAAGAAAAAAGAAAGGAGGCATAGAAATAGTCCAGAAAAATCAGCTTTAATTTACTGCAATATTAATCAGAGCACTTTCCCCCTTTCATGGGTGCCTCTTGTTTTTTTTTCTTTTTTGTTTTTTTTTTTTCCTCCTGGAAAATGTGGCCCTATTAGCCACTGTCTGGGTTCTGTAGCACGGAGCATTAAAAACCCATTCTGGAGATGCAAAACTCAATGGATGCACCCCTCCCACACTTCTGCTAGCCATTTGGTCATCCCTTTCAGACCCATCTTTTCACTTCTCTCCCTTCTGCCCTTTATCTGCATGATAAAACGTCTGTGTGGCGTCTGAAGCCGGCGTGAATACAGGAAAACATCCGACATTGTGCCAGCGAACAGTTGTAGCAGACAATTAGAGTTTATCTGTGATAGTGACAGACAAGAACAGGGTCATGGGCATCCCCCCCCTGTGGGACCCCGGCCTACCGAACCCCTTACACCGGGCTTCGGAAAAAACATTGTCAACACTCAGTCTCATCTCATTAAAAAAAAAAAAAAAAAACCTGCCAGCATCTGGTATTGGTGTCCTTTTGCCTTATTTGAAAAAAATAAAAATAAAAAATACAGAAAAATCAGTTATTATGTTTTTATATTAATAACTTTTTGACAATTTGATTAAATAAAATGGAACTTTCTGCATTAACAGGGTGAAGGTAACTGATTTTTAATTTCAAAACAAACAATGTTGAGAAAGTTTCAGATGTTGAGAATTTGCACTTGCAGTAGAAGTTGGTGTAAATACTGTTTTGAACCAACATGGAACATTTTTCACCAAACATTGTGCATTTTTGCAAAACTATAGGGAATTAAAACTTTAAACTTAAAACAAACTAAAAACTCACTTTCAAGGAAAGCATATTTTATCCGTGGAGAGTGCTAAGCTCATGGCAGCGTGCATTGAGACTAATTAGTTAAAAGTTCCAGTCTTTTTTTATAAACCACATTAAAAGTGATATTATATATATATA